TCGACATTTTTCAGAGTTTTCGATTTTATTAATACAAAAAGGGCATGACAGCAAAAACTGGGATGAAAAGACAAAAATAAAACTTTTGAATTCCAGTCTCTATCGTTAACACTCTGAAACAATCGGTTGTGTGATAAGGTGCGTGCATTGTGCAATTACTTGTACCTAATAGATAGGTACCTATTTTAATTATAAAGAGAAGCGAGCCAAACAGTTGATTTTTTATTACTTCGCATCTAACGTTCTTTCTAAAATAAAGGTACCTATTATAGGCTCCAGCTCCTAAGTTCTAGTCCTTGGAACGTTTCTATTATAAAGCCCTGAATCGTGATCCGAAGGTAAATATTTCAATGTTCGGAACTAAGTTGCGTGTGCAATGTGCATGTATATAGGGAGGTAGGTTATAAGGTTTATCCAGGTAATTGTAAATAGATGTTTCAGAAACGTCCGAGCAATTGAGAGAGACACTTTCATGTAAGTATTTTTATAACATCCCTCACACTTCATTAATAACATTCCTCGAATGAACCAATGCAGTGTTGATGTGCCGATATTATTCTAAACGGAACGGACCGACTCCGCCTGCAGCGCGGCGACTGTTGACTTGTAGGTAGGTCCTCACCTGTTCGTACAATTCGTGTGCGAGATGAAGTGAGCCGTTCGCTCCCCGAGGAACAACTGTGGCTGTTGTGGCGGTACGCGACCCTGGCGGCTGAAGGCTCCGCCCCTCCCACCTCCCAGATAGGCCCGCTAATCACCCTCTATCAGACTCTTCAAACAACAAAAATCGCGGGTTTACCATTATGTGTGACTGCCTGTTCGCGGCAAGAGTAGGTACTCGACATTTCTGCAATGTTTTGTTGCAGTAGATTATCCACTGATCGAGCTTATTACCTAAATACATACAATACAGTGGCGTAGCCAGTAGGACCGAGGGGCACGTAACGCTACCCCATCAGGTGCAGGGGGTACACGGGCCCGTATCCCTGCGGCGCCAATTGGCCAATGAGGGTCCAGGCTGGCTGCATTTCGACTCGAAAGGGCCCCAGGACTCGTGGGGGACCTCATCGGCTCCTAAGTAGCCACGCTTATCTCCATAAGGGCCCCACACTGGGTTCTGAAGGCCCTTGACCGGCCTCAGAGGGCTTCTTGTCGGCCTCTGGAGGGTCCCTGCCGGCCTATGAGGGGTTGACGCCCCATGCCGAGGGCCTGAGGGCCTCACGCCATTGACTGAGGGTCTCAGTGGCGTCTGAGACTATGTTGGTGTCTAAGGGCTCCAGCCTCCACAAGGCTACTGTAGGCACCACACAAGCTCTTAAAGAAGTCTCGCTGAGCTCTAATAGGTCCTATAGCACTAACCAGCCTCTGATGGTCCCTCCCATGCGTGCACTCATAGTCGGACACCAGGGCCTGTTGGGACTTTACGCCGATAACTCTAGGAGCCGTACATACACCGGTGGACTACACCAACCCTACGAGGGCCCTACACCAACCCCTCCGAGGCTTTAACCCTATTCCTGGCGGGGGGGGGCCTCAGGAGCCCCCCCTGAGGTTTTTTGGTTATTTCTCCCAAACGCGTTGAGCTAGGAAGCTCAAATTTTCTGACTTTTCCTAAAAGGCTTCTACGCAACATGTCTGAAAATTTTGAGTTGATCTGACCTCAGGTCAGGTCACCAGAGGCGGTTTAGTGACCCTACCTCAGAAAAGTTTGCAATCACGCCAGAGCTAGAGTTTTTGACCGATCAATTTCTTCTCTTCAGGGTTTAGTTAGGGTACCAGTATGTGCAATTTGTAAATCTCGGAATTTTGATATCGGTGACCTAAGGTCAGGTCAATTTCGCGACCTCCCCATTATAAGTCAATGGGGGAAAAATCAACTCCCTGTTTTTACCACTAAAACGGGTCGGAATGGCCCCATATACCATACATGACTTCATGTACGATCAACCTTCACTACCTTGAGGTCTGTTCAGCTGTTGGGCAGCTGTGAGGTCATGTGACGTCATCAAAGGTCACCAAAGGTTTTTGGCCAATAACTCCGTACAGGAACAAGATACAGACGCGTGGATGGTCTCATTGTGTTCAGCTCGTCAAGACGCATCGAATGATATACATGATGACCTCGAGGTCACGTGACCTGAGGTCAACCTTTGACCTTGACCTTTCGAGGTCAACATATATATCATTCGATGCGGATTGACAAGAGGATCACGATGATGCCCTTAGTTTGTTCCTATCTTGACTAATTCGAAAGTTATTCGAGAAAAACTCTCCATATCTAGCGCCGCCATTTTGACTTTTTCGAACCCTGTGACGTCATCTTTGACCTGACCTGAAAATGACTTTAGTAAAAATTGTAGATCTTGGCCGTGCGTATCCGATGCCGTTTACCGCTTGTCGAGCTATCTTGCTTCGTTCTCGAGATCTCAGGGGGGGGGGGCCGAATCGCCCCCCCCCGCCAGTTTCTTGTCCCGGCGGAGCCCGCCAGGAATAGGGTTAAGGGCCCCACATCAACGCATCTGACGACCACCCACCGGCGACTCTGGGGGCCCCAGAACGGTGATTTTGAGCATAGGCGGCGGAACGGGGAAGGCACCGGGGCACCGTGCCCCCCTTTGATTTTGGCATTTTAACATAAGCCCTATGGGCGTTGCATGGAAAGAATGGGACCAAAAGTCGGCAGTGCCACCTCCCCCTTAAAGGTAGTGTGCCACCTTTGAAAGATTTCCCATTTTATTTTTCCTAGGATAAGAAGCTTCTGTTTTTACCTAATATCGCAAAAAAAATCAAAAATGGGCCTGGAATAGTGCCTTTTTCGCCTAAAAGTTTATCGGTTTTTAGATATGTATAACAACTGTAGTGGGCTCACCTGCAAACAGGCGTCGGGCAACAATCGCGAATGCGGCGCACTTGTGACAATAAGCAAAGTTCATTATAGTGTTACGACCATACGACGTACGGGAATGAGTTATCAGCTGTCTAATCGTAGACAACACAATGTCGAGCCTTAAACTGTAAACCCGTATTGGTATTGTTTCTTTTATTTGGCTGTCGAACATTATTTATGGTTTGAAATATGATTTTATGTAAAATAATTGATATGAAAAAGCCGTCTTATAAGTTATGACCCCATTTCACCACACGCAAGTGGCAGAAATGACAATGATCAGCTGACGCATTTTTCTTGGCCGAAGTCAGAGCGCGCGGCCCGACGCACCACGCGTATTTGGAAATTCCGACCTCGACGAGCATCAGAAGCCAACTAACAGGCGTGTTCGAAACCGCAGGAGCTGATGATGAACGGGTTTATCGAAACTTGATTGGATGAGCATATCGGTAATAGCGATTTCAGTGTGTGCATTTATTGTTCATAGTGGTGTGAAATGTGGTTGGGGTACGACCGACAACCCGTCGGGGCGAATTTCGCACTGGGGTACTCAAAATTTGAAGAATTTAAGACGTTTCCATGAGTTTTGAAGGTATGGATAAGTTCTAAAAATCCGGTTCTCCTTATCTGGGCCATTAACTCCATACGGTCCAAGAAAGCTGGCACACTACCTTTAACCCGCGCCCCGTAGGGCTATCGGCGGACCTACCACCCGTAAGGGGGGGGGGGGGCTGTTTCGCCCCCCCCCCCTAAGATCTCGGAAATTTACCGGCCGATTTTCAAAATTCAAACGGTGTTCGATATCCTCACCGGGGAACTACCTTTTGACTAAATTTCATTGACCTAGGTCAAACCGATGACGTCACAGGTCATGTCAAAGATCGGATTTTCACCGTTCACAGGCATTTCAAGAAATGTGTTGTGAAATCGAGTAAATTGGTTAGTTATTGAAAACCATCGATGGTATGGTTACAATGGTACATTGTTTGTCAAACACATTATCACATACATTGCTATCTGAGGTCATTGATACACCCTGATTGATACCAGGTCGAAGGTCACAGAGGTCAAGTCACTGGGAGGTCACAATATGAAAGTGTCGTGTGATACATGTTTTATGGTCCATTTTGCGTGACAAATGCGATTATGTGGGCCAGGCAGCCTTTGGGGCTAGTTAAGGTCACGTTTTTGTTAAGGTCAGGTCAAGGTCAGGTCAAATTAGGTCAAATTTCAAAGTTGATATTTTGCATGAAATGGGTATCGATTCGATGCAGCTCGTCACGGGGAGTTTTATGGTGGTCTTTGTTTTACCATACGTGGTCTAGAATTGCCAAAAAAATTAGTTTGAAAATTTGACGTCATCATTTTTGAACAGGTTTTTCGCTATAACTTGGCCAAAAAACGAGGTATCGATCTGAAATTTGGTCTGTAGATAGAACACGGTGAGTTTTATCACATATATTCCATTTTTTTTCGAAAAATCAAAAAACTTTTCGAATTTTTCGGCTAATATATATAAAAAATGCTTTTTTGATTTTTGGGGGTCAAAACTCAAAAATGGCAAAAATCCGAGATAGCATTTTTGTAGCCCTGTCAACTCTACACCTTCTATGTCTGATCATTTTTCTGTATCTTCAAAGCTGTAGGCCTGACAGCTCTTCTCGCGAAGATCTTTTTTCGGTCGAAAATAGCAGAACATGACGTCATTCTGACGTCATTTGTGGCCAACCTATCATAGCCTCTGGAAAAATGTTTGGTCACAATATGTAAAATTGATGCCCGGAGGGGTCCTGAAAATTTGGTGGCGAAATTTTTAGCCATTTAGCAGATATCGACGGAAAAGGACAGGGGGGCCGTTTCGGCCCCCCCTACGGGGCGCGGGTTTTGAAGGTGTTCCGCCGCTACTGTCCCATCGGCGTCTGAGAGTCCCATGCTTGATGCTTCCAAGGGCTGCACAAGGCTTCTGGAGGCTTTAAATGGTTTTGCATATGCATGCAGCATGCATATGCATAGGCGCCTGTGTAAAACGGACATAAAATAATCTAAAAGCAAGGGATCCTCTGAAACAGGGGGAAATGGAAGCAATATTGCAGCACCCGTCACAAAACAATCCGGCGCAGCTGCTTCGTGGTGGTTGATGGTGGTTGATGAAGTGGATGAAGTGTGCGCCACATAATGCACGTAAATTTGTGGTTGTTGCAAGTTGTTGTTTATTTTGTTTTTTGATAAATTATATGCAAAAAATGCCTGAATAGATTTCAAAGGTATGCATGGCATGGGTGGGACCTGGTCTCACCTGGTAGGGTTCACCAAGCCTGACAGCCCTAAGGATAGTCATGGTATTCTCACCTGGTCAGTAGGCGGAACTATGGTCATGAGTACCCAAATATAGGAACGTTCCCATTTTTGGGAACGGAGTTCCCAAATATGGGAACGGGCGTTCCCATTTATGAGAACGGAAGGCAATTTTTCGGCCGTTCGCCCACTAAAACTCAAAAGTGCATCACGTCTCAAAAAAGTGCACGCTGATTTAAGTATCTACTAAATCTCCATAAAGTTATCTTTAATCTGACCGTGGAACAAGGAAATTGACCGTGGAATGATATTTTTAATGATTTTTTAAAAATGACAGAATGGTGGAAATATGGGTTATACGACATTTAACATGCAATTTTAAGGAAAATGAAGCATTTTTTACATTTTGAGGTCAAGTATAATAATTTTCGCCTGGTTATGAAATTTCATTCTAGCGACACCAGATGCTGACATATGCAAGCGAACACGCGGACAGTCCCGAGGTAATATTGTTGACTTTTGGTGTCGGGGCGATCGACCGCGTGGAACGTCAGTGATTTTACCGAACTACTGTTGTAAACTCAGTTTCAGTGGTTTAAAATCATTCAGCTGTATTTTATCAGCCCTGAAAGACATATTTTATTTGGATGCTAGCTGTTTAGCGTTGTTTTATAAGCAGCGTCATGAGCGTGGTTTTTGTCTTCGGCGTTTCTAAGCATGATCGTTTGGGGGGAATTTCTCTGATATAGGTCGCTCTGTGTGGCTTATTTATAATTTTTATGCTGATTTCGATCATACCTCGTGCCCATCCTACCAGGCCTTTTGCCACTTACACTCATTAAGAAAGGAAAAAACTAGATTTTCATTGGGACTAGGTGTTTTAAGGGTGTAACATATTCAGCGTTCCCATTTTTGGATACTTCTTGTGCTCGTCAACTCTCGGTGATTAGCAGACAGGTGCTTGACATGTCTCCACCCTCGGCGCGGACGGTGGATATAGGTATGGAAGACCTTGTTGAACATCGCTGAGCGTTGTGGATTACGTAATCCTGCAGAGGGGGGCGTGCCCGCTGCGAGATCGACGGGAATAAAAGCGCAGAAGACCGGGCGAAACATGCAACGGTCTTGCCGGAAAGGTCATCTGATGATTGTTGCGTTAACAATAATTTGCGGCGTTGGACGTGATGCTTGTTAATGAAAAGAGCCCCTGAAAGGCGTCGGTGAAATCGTTCCCAATTTTGGGTACGCCGTTCCCATAATAAGGAACGCTTGCAGCGCCAGTGTACGAGAGCGTTCCCAAATTTGGGCTCGCGGCCCGGGTGATGGACTGCTTTAGAAATAGGGGAACGATTTGAAACTACGATGGGCCTTACAATATCAAACTCTTTCCCATCAATATTGAGACAACTATCAGGTGGTTCACGATCGTTTTATATTTTTTGGACGTCATTTAACAGTTCTTTTTCTTGTTTTAAATAATGCCTACATGGCGTTCCCATATTTGGGTTTATCGTTCCCAAACATGGGAACGAAAATGCGTTCCCGAAAATGGGTACGCTTGACCATAGTTCCGCCTACTGTGGTAGGGTTCACCAAGCCTGACAGCCCTAAGGATAGTCATGGTATTCTCACCATGACCGATTTCTTTATTGCTTTTTTGTTGGTGCCTGGTTATAATTTCTCTTGGCAAAATGCGAGCTCCATGGTGAAGATCAACTGCTAGGAGCAGCCAGTCTGCAAAACATGGCAGGGAGCTCGACAAGATTTTTGGGGCAGACAAAATCCTGCCCCGAATCAGAATGCTGAGTCCAGGGGCAGCCCAATTCCTGCCCCTAATGATGCTAATAATGTAATGATATAATGATGTAGGAAGCAGTAAGAAGCTGAGAAAATCACTTCTGTGTCAATTTTTAACTTCTGCACCAGATTTTCCTGTTTCCGCCCCAATCTTCCTGAAACCTGCCCCTATTTCTGCCCCAACCTGTGGTGTCTGCCCCGACGAGATCTCGTCGAAGCCTGCCACGTTTTGCAGACTGGAGGAGCAGCGTCTCGGTCTTGCCATTGGCCGCCCATCACCAAGGCAAAATTAGGATTTTATCTAAGTATGACGTATTTATTTTTTTACCAGGCTGAAATAGCTGTGGGATTTCAAGATAGGTATGATGATGATAATTGTGGAGATGTTAGGCTTCATTGCAACTCGTGTAATGTATTCCTGTACGGCATCTGTTTCTATGAGCATGGTACCACAGGTTCATAAAGTAATAAGTAGAAGGTCCTTGACATTCCAGCCGGACAAATCTTTGAATGGACAAGTCTGTATGGGCTATGGCTGCTTTCAACTAGGGCCATGTTTCCTGGCGGCTGGCGCGACACTTCAGTGCATCGCACTATGCCATGCGACTAGGCATTGATGCGGATTTTAGACAAATTCGCCTTTACAAACTTGTTAGCTCCAGTGCTGCAAGCATCCGAGTTTGTCGATGTTTCCATGATAACCCAATACACTGATATGGGTATCATGTTGTAGCATCATGATGCCATGCAATGGGGCCCTGAAGAAATGAAATCAACATAGCATAACATGACCTGACCTAACCTGACCAAGCCTTACATTTGATAGTCTTAGTTTGACCCAACGTGGAAGTTTTACAAAAAAATATGAACACGGATTTTTGCAGCTAAAATGTGTTCAGTGACAGGCCTTTGCTGCCTGCTGGTGGTTGTGGTATCTTATTGTTGATTTTGAATTGCACATACAATACGAATTTGCCAAATAAGAAGCAGAAAGCAAGCTGTAAAACACTGTGACTGAACAGATCAACAGCTCATGTATTTTTATATGCAGATTTGGATTAAAAGGCTAACCTGCAGGGTGATAAAAGTGTTTTTTCTTCTCAATTTTATTAATTTGTTTCATGAAAACTTAAGCTGCAAAGAATTACATTTTTAGGATGATGCAACACATTAGGGGCCTGCAATTGCATCAGTCATCACCCAGGTACGAAATGTGTACCAGCCAGCACTGAACAAGGCCTAGAGTTTTTGCTACCAGAGTTAAGCATCTTTTTTGTGATATGATAACATTAAATGGCAGTAAATGCTAAATTTTTCCCTGGCTAGTGCATAAATTTGTTTGGACGATGCTGCAGCCTACACCAGTGACCAGCATAGGGAAAGGCCAAATAACACAATATCAATATGACCCTGCAGTTGACCAACACTGCTTAGTGCTTTATGGAGGCTCCACACCAAAAACAGGTATTAGCATTTAGCACCACTTCTTCCTGCAAAACATTTTGTGATCTTGAATTCCTGAAAATGAGTTTACCTACTCATTTTTTGAGTTGATTTCAACTGATCTTAATGCTGATCACCTCTGAACTGAATTGTTTTTGGTCATCATGCTTACAGTGCTTGTGGGAAGGGTCGCAACATCTGCATTGGGTACTCACTGGCCACTTCAGTAGCTATCGAGAGAAGGCAGAGGTCGTTTGCTCTCGACCTCCCCCCCCCCCCCCCTACGATAGGGCGCTGATTACCATTTACCTGCTTTTGTTTTATATTGATATGCTCGTGCTCTGCATTGTTCGATATTAGTGTGATGTTGATTTTTGTCTGCAAATAATTGCATGAAACGTTTTGCGATTCTTTTTAAGGTACTGGCAGTTGTATAATTTGGATAAAAACCTTATAGGATGTTTTTTGGAATTAAGTTTATGTTCTAAAGAAAGTTGCCTTTTTCTTTCATCATGAAAAATGCAATAGAAAGGTAATTTTTGAATCAAACTAGGTACCTATGCATCAGCCTTCAGTCCTCATTCATGCCATGCTAGGGGTGTTTTCTTGCTTCACATATTTTTCGCGAATATCCTCTGCGCCACCATTTTTGGCACATCTTTTCATGCATCTATTATACTCATGTGAAAATTTCAGACCCATAATATCTTACCTAAAAAAATGTTCCAATGCTTGCCATGACTACATTGACTTAACGATCGCTTTGAAACTTTCAGGGAACTTGTCTGAACTAATCAGACCTAACCATGATACACTGAATCGGAAAATTCCCACCCTCACCCATGGCCCTCTATATGCCCTTGAGGTCATCCCGATTCCCAGGACATGAAAGGTCTCCAGCAGTTTGTTGATGATAACTTTTGATAGAGACATACTAGAACGATGAAAACACATTGTTTGTGTTCACGTTGACGATACGAATCGACTGATGTTCACCATACCCCTTTCCGGTCAGGTCATGTCTTTGACCTCAGGTCAAATTTTCAAAACGAACTTTCGAATTAAAAATTAAAGTTCATTTGACGTGTCTCGACAAGAAGAACACGATGCCGGAAAAGTCAATGTCGTGTCATTTTTCAGTCAAAGGTTATGTAAAAACGTCAATTTTAATATTGTTTTCCCTCTGGAGACTAAACCGTTGGTCTTCGGTGAAGGCTGAGGACACAATGCAGAAAGAATGTAAAAAGCGCTATCGATTGCGTTTTTCCGCGGCACTGTATCTCTATTCATTCCTGACCGCCCAACTTGGTCGAAAAATGTCGAAACTAGACGAAATTTGACCTTTGACGACCTTTAGTGATCTGACCTTTGACCTGACATAAAAATGAACGACGTACCTTCATCTTTTTTTCGACACTTTCGAATGTCGCTTACCGGAGCCGGGCTAGACGGGGGGGGGGGGTGTAAAAACGTCCCCCCCCCAGGACTCCACGGAAAACAGACCACCAACACAGCGTTGGTTAAACACGCCCTGCCTACAGTACACGCCACTTCCGTGTCCATTTTCAGGGCTGTCGGCTCGGGCTGTCGGGTGGGCTACTCCACCACACACAAACACAGACCGTTTGTTTTGCAGTGTCAGCTGTCCGGTGGCCTTGCCAGCCAGCCTGTGAGTCAGTACCATCCAGCGTGCGGAGCGGACCCGCGCCGGCGCCCAGACCCGCGCGCCGACCGCCGTCCGCCGAGACTGGCCGCGGGCACAGCTCTGTGCCTCGCCCCTCCGCTCCCTCCGACACTGGCCGCTGACCGTGCTCCGCAGCCGCCGTGGACCGCCGAGTATGACTGAGGTTGGCATCCAGACCGATTCCGAGCCGCTGTTGCCGCCACCCGCCGCCGACCGCGCCGCCGCCGCCGCCACCGCCGCCGCCGAGAAGGCGGGCCGTCCCATGTCGCGGACGCGCTGTCTGCGGCTGCTGCTGCTGCTGACCGCCGCCGCCAGCACACTGGCCATCGTCTACTTCGCCTACCTGTGTCCGGCGGGCGCGTGCGGCGGCGGCACCGGCCTCGGTCTGGGCGCCGGCGGCCCGCCGGGCGCGCCGCTGGCCGACCGACAGGGCCGTCCGCGACTGCCCTCCGCTGCCGACTCGCTCAGCTTCGATCAGCTGCTCAGCGAGGGTGTGCGCTTCGACGTCTCGGGGGACGACGTCATGGTGTTCCTGCATATCCAGAAGACGGGTGGCACCGAGTTTGGCCGACACCTGGTGCACGACCTGGACCTGGAGCGGCCGTGCGTCTGCTACCGCCGCAAGAAACGGTAAGGAGGTGGAGCGGGGGCGCTGTCAGGGTTGCTGGAGGGTCATGTCCAGTTCCACACTTTAGGGACAGGTCGGATGTTAATTACGGCTTGGGACGTTTTGCCGAGGTCCCGGTATCATCATTTACACTGTTCAGTAGACTTCTTTTATAAAATACTTTTTGTGGCCCACTGAAAGCTAGCCGTTGTTCCGAGATTAAATCCAATTACTTTTGTTCGGCTTTGAAAGTGGCTAAAATATTTTCGAGGTGATGTTTACGTGTTTTTGAATTGCGTGTTTTATGATAACGTGTTGTTACTTAAATGCCAAAAGATGTGGCACCGGAAGAAGGGATATTATTTATTTGAAACATTTATCCACCTCCCAGTGTTCAAATACCAACAATGGATGTAGTATTTAACTGTACCTAACGAGTGCCAGCAATTGCCCGCTCGCTGATTGGTGGTTGCGGTGAGCGCCCGACGGCGGTCGGTGGTGACGCTAGTGTTCCGTGTCACCGCCAGATGCCAGTGTCTGCGGCCTGGCCGCGACAGCCGGTGGCTGTTCAGCCGCTACTCGACGGGCTGGAGGTGCGGCCTGCACGCCGACTGGACAGAGCTGACCGCCTGCGTGGATGAGGCTATGGACCAGCTAGAGAGAGACCGACACAAGCGCAGGTCAGTGCTCGCTGCCACCCGACGGCACTGTCCCGGGCAGAATTGTATTGTATTGTATTGTATTGTATTGACATCACAAATCTTCCACATACAGCGTAGCGACTACGGCTTAGACCCGAGTCATAGGTAACAAACAAGCATTCAGGTAGGGGAGAACGCTCAACAGTCAACACCATACTCAACACCATACGTCTAACGTCAGCCATCCATGGGGTCGCAACAAAGCTTATCAACATCTCTACATAAGGCTGTGCACAAAACAAACTGCACAACTGGCATACTGACAGTCCTGTAGGCTTAACTGTACAGCTGGTTAGCGGCGTAACAGGGTGTGACTCTTCAGACCAGGCGAAGCTGGCAGGTGGCATCTACACTATTTGAGGTGGGAGGCTATTCAAAAGCGCCGTGGCTCGGTACTCAAAACGCCGTTTACCGGTTTAAAGTCTCGGTCGTGGTAGTTGGAGGATATGGTCCTGCCGGGTGTGCCTGTCTCGAAAATTGTGGGCGAAAATTGTGGGCGATTATAAGTGTCAAGTAATCTTAGTTTGACATAGATATTGGGGGCAGCCAACCAAGTTCGTTTCGTGGTCAAATTTACGACGCCCGAAGATAGCGGCAAAGTTCAGAATTTTCTGGAGTCGGTAGAAATTTTTCTGAGTCCCGTTTCCGTACACGGGAAGACAGTAGTTGATCCGTAACACAACAAGAGAACGTTAATGACACCGTCCGTAGACAATTTCGTGCATGAGACAGTCCAATCAACAAGCCAGTACACCGACGATTGAGCTCGGACGCATGTGCTTCCCAGTACAGGGTGCTGTCAAAGACGACGCCCAGATTCCTCATCTGCTCGCTTGGCTGCAGCAAAACTCAGCTAGGGAGATGTTGAAGTCAGGTACTTTCCGTAAGTTTTGTCTACTGCTAAGCACCATGAGCTGTGCTTTGTTTGCGCTCAGCTTGAGGGCTTGAAGGCTAAACCAATCACTGATTGATGCGAGTGAAGCTTCTATGCGAGAGCTTCTATGCGAGGGTAAGTGGGCTGAGGTCTTCGGTACGGCGGCTCACTAAAACCTGAGTGAAATGTGCGCATAATGGAAAACGGTTGCGTCCCCTGTGGATAGTGATAGGTTGCTGGATTTTTTTTTAAAGAGGAACAGTCCCAGGATGGATCCTTGAAACACTCCGATGTTATTTTGAAGCGGCTGCGACAGCACTCTGCCTCTGGCTCCATCGGACAGCGACGTACTCTGGGTGTGTCCCCTAAAGAAGGCAGAAAACCAGGAGGTCTTGATCCCTTGCATAGCCACTAGCCAGTTTTTGAAGTAGAAGCTCATGGTCGAAGGCATTAAAGCATTTGCTTAGATTGAGGAGGCACAACTATGAAATTTCAGAATACTGAAATGACGAAACAAACGAAAAACGTAATGATGACAAAGCACTTCCGACCTGCTCAAAGCAGGGTAGCTCAAAGGACCACACAGGGCGTAGGGATCAACGTGAGGTGATTTTCAAAATTAAAGTCATATCATGGTGACCAATGACTGACAATGTGCCGTTCTATTCTTTGTTCCACTGGCAAGTCTAGTAATATATCCCAACTTATCGATTTTAGCTGTTGGTGCCCACGACTTCATTGTTTTTATTCCGACGTGTTCTTGTTGTCAACGGCTCATATGTGTTTTGCTGTTGGTCGATAGAAGGAATAAGTGATATTTTCCATACAGAATGAAACATAGATCAAACGATATAAAGCTGGATTGCGTGACACCGTATCTAGCGCCTTGATTATTGCTTTCAATTTGCTTTCAATGAGTGCTTACTGCTTACCTTCAACTATTGCCACTTAAGAGTTCAATTAGCTCGCACATTAGCGCCATTGTCGTGCGAGATGACAGTTTTCTTTTACGCGGTCGCTAAGTACTTGATCAAACAATGCCGCCCATTTTTAGCCCGTGAGTGTCGGTCGTCCCTCAGTCACCTGTCTGGGGTGATGTGGGGTGGGTACGATAGGACCAGTTACTGGGCCGTGCTGGCACGTGAGCTCTCACACACCCGTGCCCGATACCAGCCTGGGGGCGTGCCCCTCCTCTGCCGGACAAGGCCAGGACAGTCGGACACAGACAGATTCCAAGCCAGCACCTCCTCGGATCAGTCTGGTGGTGTGGCTCCTGATAAGCCACTTGAGCCGTGAAGAGCCTGTTGTTGGCAGGATAGTAATCGATACTCACGCTAGCTGTCATTTAATGTCTCCCCACTCCCATCTGTCCGGATGAAGATCTCATAGTTTGACGTCTATGATCCCTTTATGAGATGCTCGACCGGTGAAGACGTATACATGGCTTGCTGAGTCCAATGTTCGAGGCTAACGTAGTGCGCACATTGTCACACCATACGGCATGAGGCCACTCGAACCGTGACAAGTTGAATCCCTTGCACTTGGGGCGAGGTGCGATTGGAATGCACGAAAACAATGGCGTCTAAGTAAACACTTATGGATCTGAAGGAGTCACGAGTCGTATGAGTATCACGGTGTCAGGTGACAAAAGTGTCAGCTAGGCCACAATCACGCCACCTATCGATGGTGCCTTTAATCTAGGCGATATTTCATATTACTACTTTAATTACCAGTATACCGCCTTTTGGGGCGACTAACGGAGCGAGCGGGAGGGTGGGCCTTGCACGTGCGAAATTGCGAGGGGTTACCTCCAACTGACTTGTACATGGCACCCTACTTACTGGTCTCCAGCAATGTGCCAAATTTGAGCACAATCGGCCCAGCCGTTCTCGAGATCTGGAAGCGGCACCCTGCACGTGCGCACGTGCAAAATGGGTCCCAACTGACTTGTGCACGGCACCCTACTAACCGGTCCTTAACTGTGTACCAAATTTGAGCGCATTCGGTTGAGCCGTTCTCGAGATCTGGAAACGACCCCTGCGCGTGCGCACGTGCAGCAGCACCCCAACTCTGGCACATGGATATGCACTATGCAGTGCCTAGTGGGTGCCTACCTTCATGCCAACTTTCAGCGCAATCGGCCAAGTAGTTACCGAGATATTGCAACAATTACAAAACTGACACCTCTTCGTTTTGCACGTGGCACGTGCATAAGGGGTCACCCACATGCATCAGAAATAGTCCAATACTTGGTAGAAGGAATGAAGCTACCCTACAAAAGTTACCGCATGTAAATCGGTTAAGTGGTTGCTGAGATATAAGCCTCGCAAAAGCGTCCGCACGGCCGGCCGGCCGGCCGGCCGCTCATACTCAGAAATTTCCGTTAATCTAAGGAAAGACTACGCTCGCTTCGCTCGCTCCGTAAACACTAATAGCCTGGGCTGTTTCGGCATTTGCTCAATGGTTAAACAAATGAGTGAATGTGTTTTTTCTCAATTCTCAGTAGTTTTGAAACGTTTTTTTTTTCATACCAAGATCTCATATAAACTTTTTGCCCGCTTTAAATGACATATTGAGGTTTTGATTATGCTCAATCAATAATCTCACCAGTATAACGCCTTTTGGGGCGACTAACGGAGCGAGCGAGAGGGTGGGCCTTGCACGTGCGAAATTGCGAGGGGGTACCTCCAACTGACTTGTGCACGGCACCCTACTAACTGGTCTCTAGCGATGTGCCAAATTTGGGCACAATCGGCCCAGCCGTTCTCGAGATCTGGAAGCGGCACCCTGCACGTGCGCACGTGCAAAATGGGTCCCAACTGACTTGTGCACGGCACCCTACTAACCGGTCCCTAACCGTGTACCAAATTTGGGCGCAATCGGTCCAGCCGTTCCCGATATCTGGAAACGACCCCTGCACGTGCGCACGTGCAGCAGCACCCCAACTCTGGCACATGTATATGCAGTGCCTAGTGGGTGCCTACCTACATGCCAACTTTCAGCGCAATCGGCCAAGTAGTTACCGAGATATTGCAACAATTACAAAACTGACACCTCTTCGTTTTGCACGTGGCACGTGCATAAGGGGTCACCCACATGCATCGTGAATAGTCCAATACTTGGTAGAAGGAATGAAGCTACCCTACAAAAATTACCGCGTGTAAATCAGTCAAGTGGTTCCTGAGATATAAGCCTCGCAAAAGCGTGACCACGGCCGGCCGGCCGGCCGGCCGGCCGCTCATACTCAGAAATTTCCGTTAATCTAAGGAAAGACTACGCTCGCTTCGCTCGCTCCGTAACAAAGTGTTATTCAGATCTGCTTCACTTAACCTGCTTGACGAAATGTAAAATCGTTTTGATTCAGGTTATATCGGTAATTTCGACATCCATATATGATATATCAATTATTCGTCAGTCGTGTTTTTTTTTTTTTTATTCAATTTGTTCAATATATATTTAATCGGACCGCCTCCTCGATATACCAGGTATTATTCGGTGTGCCTAGCCAAGGGTGTTTTAAATAATGCCCGAACTGAGTGAGGGCATTATTTTTTCTAAAATATTAACCGAACGAAGTGAGGTTAATATTTTCAAAAATAACACGAATGAAATGAGTGTTATTTTTGTATTTAATGCACGAGCCTGCGAGTGCATTAAATATAAACACTCTTGGCAAGGCACACCGAATAATGCCTGGTGTACCGAGGAGGCGGTCCGATTACATTTATTATAACGACTTTGCGCCGTTCGTTGCTCAGCTCGTCTATTTAAAAGGGCTACATTGAGGGATTGGGAAAAGAAACGGGGCTTGGTTTTGTTTTCGGGGAACATTTGTTAATAACGAAGTGTGTACTAATTAATCAAATTAATAGCGCCAATTAGGAAATGCAATAGTGGAATAAGTGGACTGTGCAATGTCTCGGTCAGTCTCTTATATTCATATGCAGGCCCTCTTGCAGCACTTGTAAAGAACTTAAGCACCCAGGGCCGCCTTCTGTGAGAACCTTATTCTGAAAACGCGTATTTACAAGCTCTGATCTATTCCATCATCTCTGTATCATGTGTGCCTGGGTATACCAATCAGACACTTGGTCTGCGCTGCTCCTATCACGATAAGTGGCTACAGCCCATTCTGGGTCTTCCTTGTGTTGGTTGGAACACCTTCTGCTTCTCTGTTCGCCAGCTCTTGGGAGAGCAAACTGCAGTTTTTTCTCGCTGTCTGTACCATTCGTATCCATTTTCTGCATTACGAGCACCACCTTTGAGTGATCGGACAAAGCAGTGGGCCTATCAGATTAAAAAAAAAAATTAAGAAGGCGTCTCAAAGCTCTCTCTGAATTTGATTTAGCTCTGTGTTGCCTTCGGTGCACTTAACATTCAACCTCGATGCAGGCCAATATTCTTTTTTTTTCAGCGAGCAGCTTGAAACCATTCTTGTGAAACCATTCGGGCTCCACCACGGAAAGAAAAAGTCTGATTAACAATATTATTCCCGGGATTAATTTCTGTTATACCGACGTTTTACTTAAAGGGACCCTCCCACCTTAACATTAGATTTGAGTTGAGATAGCCAAAATGGGGTCCCTGGCTCACAATTACTGGTTTCGGCACTCACAACATCGAGAAATGCCTTAAATCGGAAATATTGAATTTCAAAATTGCAGCATTTTGATTCAGGGGGGCTAATGCATAAGAATACCCCTCTGAATGTGTGACGTCAGCGCAGATATCTAACGATTTTTAAATGTTTGACTAAAACGTTTTGTAGCACGCGGTGGTATATGCTGCTTTGCGCGCAACAAATGCCGCACTTTCAAATAAAGTCGCTAGGAACAGCGGAGATCCCAAAAAGTAAACAAAAGTAAAAGTCTAATATCTTGAAAACCGGTGAATATTTTCCGATGAAATTTGGTAGATATTCGTTTTTGCTCATTCTGAACCGAGCGACATCACTTTCATGCTAATTCATTAACTTTTTTGAAGGTGGGAGCCGGGAGGGTCCCTTTAAAAAACTGAAATCACGCGCGCGTTTAGAGACAGTCCTCCGATGCTGCGAAAAATACTTGTGCTATCAAGATTTAACCATACTTTTTTAACATGCGTGAACGGCGCAAAGTCGTTATAATAGTTGTTATTCGCAGAGCCGGAAGGATGATAGGAATTAAGGGCAGACATTAGTCCGGGCGGCGGCCGGCCACCGGGCCGTGGTGCGCTGCCGGGGTTGATACCGTCACATGGACAGCCCACCCAGCCTCCTAACAGGCGCCACACCTCGCGATGGGCCTGCTTCTGAGGAGCTACCCATGTGGGATACATGTGGCCGTCCAGGCCGGAGCAGGGGTCTGAGGCGTGAAGGAGAAGCATTTGACTTTTCTGAGAATGGATAGTGACGGAATTTTATGTTTAATATGCCTGCCTTTGTCCGGTCCCTATCCCGATTTGTGGACGTACAATTACAATTCCCCGTCTTGTTTCAGGTATTTTTACATCTCTCTGCTGCGGGAGCCGGTGCAGCGCTACCTGTCCGAGTGGAAGCACGTGCGGCGGGGCGCCACCTGGAGCACCAGTCGGCACTGGTGTGGCGGACGGGATGCCACAGAGGTCAGTGGAAGGGGTGGGGGTGGGGATGGGGATGGGGATGCCACAGAAGTGACCGTAGGGGACGGAGCGTCACAGGTCACTGGACGGGGTGGGGAACCCCACAAGGGTCACTGGACGGGGGAGGGGGACCCCACAAGGGTCACTGGACGGGGTGGATGGGGAGGGAACGGGGTGCCACAGAGGTCAGTGGAAGGGGATGCGGTCAGTGGTGGGGGTGGGGATGCCATAGAAGTGACCGTAGGGGACGGAGCGTCACAGGTCACTGGACGGGGTGGGGAACCCCACAAGGGTCACTGGACGGGGGAGGGGGACCCCACAAGGGTCACTGGACGGGGTGGATGGGGAGGGAACGGGGTGCCACAGAGGTCAGTCTGGCGGAGGGTGGTGGACAGGGAAAAGGACTTTAGTACCGGGACGGGACACTATCCTGATCATCTGGAACGGAGTATGACGGGTATATTATGTGATCGATGTTAAAATTTGACGGCAAATGACCGCATTGTTTCATCGCGTAAACTCTTCCCTGTCCTGGGTTATGGAGAACGGACGGTGTACCGTCTTCTAGCTGTTCATCTGACCGTCTGTGCCCCCTCCGGTCCCAGGCGGAGCTGCCGCACTGCTACGACGGCGAGGACTGGTACGGCGTGTCGCTCAACGAGTTTCTGCGCTGCGACTCGAACCTGGCCGCCAACCGGCAGACACGCATGCTGGCCGACCTGCACCTGGTCAACTGCTACACGGGCACCGGCATGTCGGCGGACGAGCGCGACAGGGTCATGTTGGCCAGCGCCAAGACCAACCTGCGCCAGATGGCCTTCTTCGGGCTGACCGAGGACCAGCCGCGCAGTCAGTACATGTTCGAGCAGCTGTTCGGGCTGCGCTTCCAGACGGCGTTTGCCGCCTACAACCGCACGCACGCGGAGAGCGCGCTGCGCGCCCTGCGGCCTGGGCAGCTGGAGGAGGTGCGACGCAGAAACGCGCTCGACCTCGAGCTGTACGAGTACGCGCGACAGCTGCTCCAGGAGCGCTTCGAGCGGATACGCGCCGCCGACGACCACTTCCGCGAGCATATGGATGCCCTGGGCACGGTGGACGAGCGAGGTTCGACCGAACTGGAGCACCAGCGACGGTGATTGGCGCTCCTGGTGGTGGCCGCGGCGCTGATTGGTCGGTGAGGACGCCGGGCCGCTGGTGATTGGTCGGTGTGATGCGATCCATCGCACGATCGCTGCTGCTCTGAAAGCGACTCGCTCACCGGTGCGGCCTTTGGGCTTTTTAGGAAGAATGCAGGTCTACTCAGCTCTCACGATACTGCTATGAATGCCGGCAGAGAGCAACTCTGGAGATTTTAGGCTGCTTCTCTGATACTCGCGGTCGGCCGCCGATCAGTGTTCACCTCTGCACGTGGGCTGTTCGTTCCCACCACCCACCCACCGTGCCCTGAGCTCGGGCGGTGACTTGGAGTGACCAGGCGAACTCGGGCCCTGTTCTTATTCATGACTGGCCTCGGGACTTTCTGTGGATCAGTGTACCTTTTTGAATGTTTCTATAATCACCTTAGGCTTGGCCACGTGATCAGCTACTTTACTATTTGTAATTCGCATGGCTGATGCTACTTCCGCTGCTGATAGAAGCGGAGTGATTTTTGCGTGGGTTGGGGTTTTAATGTCGGAGTTTAGATCATCATTTTTCTCATTAGGTGTCGTGACTCGTCTTATAAAGTGTTCCGCATTATGAGTGTGCCATCAGGGTGTTCGATTTTGAGCTTGTTCGCGGCCTGTGAGCGCTGTCCAGTGCAGTCACACCGCCACCCCCGTGTACTTCATTGAGCCGGTGCCGAGAGGCGTTCATTTTGGTAGCATTTATCCATACAACGATTGAGTGTTTTGTACAACCCTCGGGCCCGGAGAGGACCATGTTTTGTATTACCGTCAGAGTGCGGCCGTGTCGACTCTCAGGCGGTCGGATCGCACCGAGGTGTCGCCCCGCCGGCATGGCCAGCACAGTGCAACATATCCGTGTGAATATGCCTTTCATCGACCGTACAATGCTTGCAGCGCGGAGGGGATCGGAGCGGGGCGTAGGGTGGACCGTTCCGGCCGGTACCGGCAGCGCTCGGCTGGCCGGTGTCCTCCGTTGGGCACGGTCCTCGCATGGCAGGGTTTGTGGACTGAGTGTGTGCTTGTGAGTGCGGCGTACGTGATTTACCGCGATGCATTGCGGCAGGCTACCTTCATTTGTTCGATACGCATGTTTAGTTGTGAGATATCTGCTGGGGATGAATATGCTGATGTGGATGATTGATTTATATGTGGGATTACCGCCCGCGCCACTGCAGAGGCGCCAGTATTAACTCAATGGGCGCTATTTGACGGGGAGCATGCTGTGACCCCTGTGACTGAAGAATGAGGGCACATTAGGCATATGTGTTATTTTATAACCAAAGTCGTAATAGAGAATGTTACATAAATGATCGACGACTCTTGGTGGATATATCGGAATCCGTCGCAGAAGGAATTTGTCTCTGCCAAGTGAGCGGAGAAATATGAGTGGAAGAAATTTTACTGCATACTGCAAGGGATTCGCATACCTACGCTCGGTGACTCGAAAGACTAGGTGCGAGAGAGCTGGGTGGAATTTGAAACCGTTACCAGTCTCGCATCTTGTGTCAATGTATTTGTCTTCAGCCCATACCCAGCCAGCAATTCGGTTGGGCTCAAGTCTGTTTTGCCCCGGCAACTCCAATATGCCATACTTGGGCCGGTGTAAACGGAACGCTGTCAGAGCCGGGGTTTGGGTCGATGTGGCTCAATCCCGGTTAGCCAGCCTTTGCCGTAGCGCTCCCGGGTTGGTATGGTTTCGGACCGCCAAGTCTGGCTCAAGTCCGGCTCCCTGCCACGGCTCAAGTCCGGCCCCCTACGGCCGGGTGCGGGCCACCTCGTAGCTGATTTGGCTCAGTGTGGCTGAAGTACGGTTGAGGTACGGCACGGCTGATGCGGCATAAGTCCGGCTGTGGTGCGGGCGAGCTCCGGGATCGTGTGTCAGCTCCAGTAGAGCGCCAGGCCTTATCCCTGCTTAAAGCCGAAGCAAATGCCTGAGTTAGCCACAGCCAGAGTAAAACCAGCTACGGCCCAAACCAAATTTGCTGGCTGGGTAGTGGGTAGTAACTTGGGTAGTAACTCACTACTCAGGGCTGGTGGAGTCTGCTAAAAGGACTCCATCCGTGAAACCCAAACTTGGAGCTGATGCTGTGATGTCCATTCCAATGCCCATGTTCAAATCAGCGTTAAGTTTTCTTGCAACGAAGTTACCAATATAGGCCAGTAGAGCCTATTTGGTGACAAAGGCAGAAGTATTAAGGTTAAAGGGACCCTCCCACCTTAACATTAGATTTGAGTTGAGATAGCCAAAATGGGGTCCCTGGCTCACAATTACCGGTTTCGGCACTTACAACATCGAGAAATGCCTTAAATCGGAAATATTGAATTTCAAAATTGCAGCATTTTGATTCAGAGGGGCTAATGCATAAGAATACCCCTCTGAAGTGTGACGTCAGCGCAGATATCTAACGATTTTTTAATGTTTGACTAAAACGTTTTGTAGCACGCGGTGGTATATGCTGCTTAGCGCGCAACAAATGCCGCACTTTCAAATAAAGTCGCTAGGAACAGCGGAGATCCCAAAAAGTAAACAAAAGTAAAAGTCTAATATCTTGAAAACCGGTGAATATTTTTCGATGAAACTTGGTAGCTATTCGTTTTTGCTCTTTCTGAACCGAGCGACATCACTTTCATGCCAATTCATTAACTTTTTTGAAGGTGGGAGGGTCCCTTTAACAAGTCTATCCGAAACAGGATCTTGGTACTCAGAATATACAAGTTATCACTAATTTGGTGCAGTGAATCTGGCACGTTTTTGTGCAATTACC